ATATAACATGAGCCACAACAGAATAAGATCTAAAATCCTGAAGACCTAAGATAAATAACAGATTTCAGAACTAATTTTAAGAAAATATAAAACAAGGGTCAATAACAAATATGAATGCCCGAGATGCATTAAATAAATAAATAAATTCAATCTCATGTGCCGAGCCCTTAGAAATGTAATATTTGTATTTACATTGGCTTCAGAGAGTTTCAGCATTTATACAGTTTTCAGTAATAATGAATATTGTTTCTGTTTAACCTGAACTAACCATGCTTTTTCACGAAAACGTCAAAATATCTCATATTTAAATGTATTAAAACATAATATTATAACAAATGTTAAATTTAAATTATATTATAATTTAAATACAATAAATGAATTGTATAAATAATTATATTACAAATTAATAATTGTATGCATATATAATTTAAACTTTATTATTTACATATGAAATATATATTTATTGTATTATTTATACAATTAGCTAACTACAATATCTAAATATGCCTCTCATGCATACTCAGTAGGCTACTTCAACCGCAGTTTAATAATAAAGGGTTAATCATTTATCAGCGCACCATAAACGCCCCGATCTTTTCTTATCCTTGTCAGGGTTCGCACGGCATTGTGGGTAGAATAGGTCAGATGACCCTCGCCTCTCCTGTGAGGGGTACAGCTGCTGTCACACACTGAAGGGAAACGCCGATATTTATAGGTACGTTTGCGTGATTTTGACGTTATCGTTGACTTTTCGTATTAAACCTGTGAGGTGAAATGATCGACACCGTGACAGTGGTGCAGAAATGTCGCGTGCGGTTTCTAAGGTGGATCGTGTAGCGGCCGCAGTTAGCGAGCTAGCAAGCTAGCATCAGTGTGAGTGTAACAGGACTCATGGGGGATGGGGTAGACTGAACTGGATAGCTTTTCTCAGTCAAGCTTCAGATTTGTTTGATTTGCCTGACATGACACACATGGAAAATATGCGTGGTATGTTTTATAGTAGTGGAGCAATAAAGTTTGAGCTCAGCGAGGCATTGGCGCTGGCAGGTCGAGCCTTTCTGAGATTACAGGTTAAACTGGGTTATAATTTAACAACCGTCACGTCTTCTCTGACTACACGGTTTGCTGTTTCGAGTAGTTATTCTATTATCAGCCTTGTAACAGGTGGAGTATAACTTGACACCCGGTTATAACTGTTATCTGACATGACATGCTGCATGTAATTGGTGTGTAAGTATGAGCCATCTGCTTCACTCACTGTCCTGTCAGGATTTGCGCACATTGGATTAGGTACTTAACATGCTGTTATTGTACTGTATTTTATATTGTATATGAAGGAGGGACAGAAATGAACAGGGGGAAAGCCCTCTAATTCAAGATGTGGGGCCCAAAAAGCCCTTATAATGAATTTCTCATTTTTAAAGTTTGTATCGTCTTATATTTTTCCTTTATTACTATTATTTTGTGTTTTAGGCCTAAATGTAAGAATGTTCCCTCAGATATGTGTTAAATATGACTTCATTTTATAGATATGGCTGCAATTGACTAAATATATGGATCACTATGCCATGTGCCCTCAAATGTATGGGAAAAAATTCCCATTAATAAAAAAGATTTCTGATTTATCCCATTAATTAGCACTGATTTCATGTGCATATTTGTCTTTGGATTTTTTTTTTTGTTCAACTGATGAGCATGAAAAGTGGAACCGAATGTATTGTGTGTAATAAAATTAAATATTGTAACTTATTTGTGCCTATATTAAGTGAATTATCTCATACTTAAATTGTCCATAAAGTCCATAGGAAAAAAAACAAATCAGCTTAGTGTGTGGCCAACCAGACCCGTGCCATGTAAAGAAGTTCAGCCAATTAGAAGACACTCATTTCAGTGAACATATGAAGGGCTTAGGCTCTCATGATAAGACTCTGAAAAGATTGACCGACCTCCTCCTCCTTTTATCTTTCTCCTGTTGCTATTCCACTATTGAAACTGAACCATTGCAAATGTTTGCTGTTAAGTGTGCTTACTGCACTTTTTATCATGCGTTTGTACACCCTGATGGATAAACCGTAACTAGACTTGTGCCGGTATTCGGTAATGCGATATATCACGGTAATGAATACGCACGATATTGTTATCGTGGGCACTTCTAAATACCGTGAATAATTATATATTACAACTTATTTAGAATTTTGAATGCATTTTAAGAATACTTTTCCCATCAACTGGTCAAAATGCACAACACCGCTGTATGCAGATTGTGAAAGACGTGTGCGCACTGATGTAAATAAGCGCGGACGAGAAGCACATGGCGGAACATGTGAGAGACGCTCTGGATGAAAGCGCACTTTCACTCTCTGACAGCAGATGGCGCTAAACTGCAGAAATAATAATAATAATAATATTAATAATAATAATAATTCATTTAAATGCAGGTGTTACCCCGGAAACCCTGTAACCAAAGCAGCTGCACTACTTTCTGTTTCTGAAAGGTGTTTAAATGATTTAAACAGCCATTCAGATTTGTGTATTTGCGGTATTTTCTTTTTACATTTTCAATGGCATCATTTTCATCTATGTCAACTTTAAAAATGTATGTTTATAAGCTTTTTAAAATTTATATTTAAAACAATATAATAAGTAGAATAAGACAAATAAGTTTATCATATGTCAAATTTAAACATGTATTATAAGCTTTTTAAAATGTCTATTTAAAACAATATAATAAGAAGTAGAATAAGACAAATAAGTTACCAATCATGAAATTAGTATTAATGAAAAATTAATTTGTACTACAGAGATGGCACAAAAAGAACACAAAAGTGGCTTGTAGGCACATTTTCAGACATTCAATGAGGCTCAGAGGTGGCATGAGTGCAATTAAATTCATAAATTCATGTGGAGATTAATGTTTT